GAACCCAGGGCCTTCAGTCTCGCGTGTGAACGCTTAACCTAATGAACCACTTAGCCGGCATCCGATGGTGTTAATGTCTAATCCCAAGCAATTCACGAGGTTGAGAGACCATCTTTCATTGTACTGAGGTAGACACCTGTTTCTACCCGACACGGATTAGCTCCACTGATCACGGCTTCTCACTAGAACTCCGAGAATTTTCTCGCGAAGTTAGTCATTAGTGAGCACATGAATAGTAATCAACCATACAGTAACTAATGAACTTTAATAATTCACCAATGTTCAATTGTTTATAAAACAAACAATTTTAAAGTTAAGTTAATCATTATAATTGATCAAATTAATAAAGAATAAATATCTTTTACACTATTTACAAGATTATTCTTATTCTATAATCAAATTAGGAAATGAAATAAATGTAAACATGTCAATGAATAAATTGGGATCGTTTTGGAGTTTGTTTTTTCTTTCTTTCATCAAACAAAGAGAAAAAAAAGAAAAATTATAAGGAAAAAAACACCAATAAGAACCAGATGGGGGGGGGGTGTGGAGGGAATCGGTTTTTAATGATTAGAAAACTTTCCCAACTTTTTAAAGTAATCTAATTAACTCAAATTAGTAGTATATTGAGGATAGTAACAATTTTAATGTAATAATAGTAATAATAAGACTAGATTTCATTTAATAAACACTATAGATCAAAAAAACATCTAAACATGAAGAGGATACAGAGAATAAAATGAAAATAGATTCGATTGATAAGCTAACTATCTATCAACATGCTTAGGATATGAAACTAACTAGTCCGATATACAACTGATTGGATGAAAACTCATTGGTTCAGAGATGAAGCTTTCATGCTTATAACTAAAGATGATAATGAATTAGATGATCTCGATATGTTCATGGATGCAGTTTTGTTAAGGTATCCCATATTAGTACTAAACAATGAAGTCATACCACTTGGTTGTCTAACAAACTTCAGTTTATGATGAGAAACTATTACACGTTTGGTACCTAGTTATATAAATGTAATTCATTTGATCATGTTTAACTTTATTTGATTGAGATTGAAACACATAGGTTATGAAATTGTTAATTATACTATTGTTAGATTGCCAAAACTAACTAATCAAAGTAGACTAGGATTCAAGCTAAATAACCTTCTAATTGGAAGTTACTTATTATAATCATTAGGATATCGTTTAGTGAATGGAGAAATCAGTTTAATATTCATTCTCCAGTATTTCAAGAAAACATTTTCTCTCCAATAATATCAATGAATAAAATAAAGGTGCAATTGATTCATGATCTTAACCATTAAAATTACTATAATATCCACAAAAGCCCTTCTGAAACTAATCAACCTATGCTCACTAGCGACTGGTTTCAAGAGGTATATCCTGGAGTTCTAGTGAGAAGCCGTGATCAGTTGAGTTCAACCAGGTCTGTTGTGAGATAGTAATTTACTGAAAACAATGATGAATATGTCGCTCAGTTTCTTAGATTGGTTGAAGTTAGACATTAACACCGTTGGATGTCGACCGGCTCAGTGATCTTGTGGTCAAGCGCTTACCTGTGAGACTGACAGCTTTTGAGTTCGAATCTCGGGGGGGGGCGGTGTCTTAGATCCTCACTGATGAGGAGTCTCACAATAGGACGAAGTGGCCATCCAATGTTTCCAGGTTTTCCATGGTGACCTAGCTTCAATTGACTCATGAATTCAACTATGAAAATTACTATAATATTCACAAAACCCCTTCTGATATGAATAAAATAAACGTCAAAAAAAACAAAGGAATATCTAATCGAAACTAATCAATTAATTAAAGTAGTATAGGAAGAAAGAAGACAATAAATGAAGGTTTGAACTGTATTGTTCTCTTAAATTTGACATACAAAGATAAATCATTCAATTAAATGAAGAGAATTAATCTAAACAAAGAGAATGAGGGAAGAGAGTTTGTTTACAAACAACAAGATAATCTTTTTGTCAACCTATGGTAGTTTCTCACATGCTTTTCAAGATTGGAAATGAATATGTGTCCAATGTGAATATGATAAACAAATTTAAAAGATGGGGAGGGAGGTGCGAAATGTATTTTAAATCATGAATTGGTTTTAGTTAGATAACTATTGAAAACCAGAAAACACTGGACAGCTGCTTAGTTCTAGTATGGAACATGTCAGCAATCAAATGGAAGATGTTTGTTTAAGATCATGAATTAATTGAAGCATCGACAGCTTATTGATTTAAAGGTTAAGTACTGTATTGAATCTGTTGTAGTGGAATTGTGGACTCGTATTACTGGAGATGGAACAACAGTCTCGTACTTCCTGGTTTTCAATGGTGGTCTAGTTTAGATCGACTCATGGATTCAGCTGTGAAGATTCTAAAATCTCCATAAAACTCTATATAGTTAATGCATTATTGGCTAAGCTAGTGAATTTAGATGACTACTAACCTGTTCAATGAATATGATATACACAAGTAAAAGTTTACACTATATTGTTCCTGATGTTTATGACTGAATTGTTAGCGTTAGTAGCATCCTGAACAGAACACTTTAATATAGCCATTTCTAACAAGTTTTTTTCTGAGACCTAACTCTCGGGGCAGAGTTTAAAAGATTTGAATTATTTTTTTCTGGCTAGCGTTTCTTTTAGCGAGTTAGTTTTCTACGAGATAAGGTCGCTAACCTCCATGCCTAACACTCTTCCTTCATCGGAGCATGGGACCGGCAGTAACCTCTGAGGCGCTCTAGAAGGAGTTAACAAGCTTTTCTGAGTGCATAGGAAAAACAAGTCATATCAACTGTTTATAGACTTATTATTTAACACATATACTACTATCAGAAGGGGTTTTGTGGAGATTGCAATAATTTCAATAGTTGAGATCATGAGTCAATTAAGGCTAGACCACCATGGTCGTGGATGCGCACTGCTGAAGAGTCCCACGATAGGATGAAACGGCCATCCAGTGCTTCCAGGTTTTCCATGATGGTCTAGCTTCAATTGATTCATGATCTCAACTATTGACATATACTATTGTATAGGATTGAAAATAGATTCTTAGTTTAAGGTAATGAAGATCATTCTAACCTCCGGAAATCAATGAACTGAATGTAACATTCATTCAAATACAAACTTGTGTAATAATTGCACAAATAATTCATAACATAATACATTTCATTCAATACGTTTACTTTCATTTCATGTTTCTTCTCATTTCTTTTTTTCTTTTTAATCTTCTGATAAGATTGAATCTAATAGGAAGTTGTAAAAATGTTAGAACAATAGAATATTAACAGTTGAATATGATCCCAGGATTAAATGGTGGTCTTGTACTTTCAGATTATCAATGATAATCTCCATTTAGATTGACTAATGAATTCAATTGTGAAAATTATTACAATCTTTATAAATGCCTATTCTAATAATATGATACTAGTTATAAGTAAAGATGAATAGTGGTTAGTCGTAGAATTCAAGTAGTGAGTTTCGTTTGATTTAAGACTTGTCAGCTGGATTTACCTTCATGCCAGAGTTGATGTTCACTTTGGGACTCGAACCTAGTACTGTTCGCTTCAAATGCTATTGCATTATACACTTATCTAGTGATGATAAAACGCGCATCCTGGATACGCACAGTATGTACATATGCCAATAAGTGACTAATCACAATTGCAATGCTAAACATTCGTAGGAAGATACAAGTAAAACAATATCAAGTGAATATGATATTATTTAGTTATAAAAAGGGATTTATTACTTGGGAGTAATTCTATTACAGTTTATTGATGCTTATAAATAGAATCTACTGAATTGAGGTAATATGTCACCTGTTAGCTTTTATAATGTGATCAGATGTCGAACTATCTGAGCAAAAAGTGGTTTATTTGAGTTTTTACTCTAAACGACTTCTACATAGCTGATATAATCCGTATAGATTTGTAGTATTCGTTGTAGATGTCTAGGAAACTAAAAGATACATACAATATCGTTGAATTCTATATGAAATTTAAAAACAAATATAGATAATGACTAATGTCCTGGTACGGCTGAGAGTGGGGAGAGTCCGCTCTCACCCTCCAAATGATCTCACATGAACACTCGTATATAGCCACTACCATAGAAGTCCTACTCACTACCTTCTCGACAAAGCGGTGTTCTTTACGAAATTGACAACGAGAAACGAGAATGTCCGGCGCTTCAACCGGGTTTTTGCACACTCAGGATCGCCCTTGTTGCGTAAGCTATTAGCTATTTGAACTTTGTAGTACACTGTATAATATATTGGGGCTACCTTGATATGGTGGTGGCCGGGCTTGCCTATTGTGATAAATCAATCGAGTTATACTGGCTGGAACAATCGTTCCTCAAGGTCCTAGCATGTCAAACAGGTCGGTTGAAGAGCGGTAAAACTAAAAGCAGAAAACCCAATTTCTGAGGGCAAAGTCGAACTGTTGACTGTTCAGAGGTGAGATGGCAGTAAGGCGTTTCCTTCAGACAACCAGCATAAGAGGGATGCCGTCTTCTCAAAAGGAGTGGTTAGGTTAGAAAAGGTGCACCCTAACAATACACACCTCACCTTATCCCACAGATATTCGTCGCCAGCGGTAAGGTCTCAACAAGTACGTAGTTAAAACGAAAATCACCCAGAAAAAGGTCATTTTGTGACCGACCTCAAGCAGTTGTCCCTTGGGCACTGCGATCACGCTTTCGGGTCACTAAGACCACCTCTAATCCAATTTTCTTTTCAAGTACTTCTAGAAGAATCGTTACACATTTTCGGGCAACCGGAAAGTGATAACCGCCACCCTCGTACCTTTAATAGCACTCAAGATGAATTGACTGACGTATTGAATTCCACATTTCACCATAAACATTCACAGTAAACTTCACCTACATTTTAACATCCTATATTCTATTATTGAAATTCAATTTCAAACAAATTTCCTTATCGTTTTGTGTTTTTCTTTGTGTTTTTTTTTATTTAGGTTAAGAAATGGATAATGAATTTAGATAATTTATTTGTTACATTCACTGTATTAGCTGTTATATTGGGTATGACAATTGGTTTATTAGTTAAAATTTATGCATCACCATCACCAAGAACAATCTATCTTTTATCATTTCCTGGTGAATTATTAATGAATATGTTGAAAATGTTAATTATACCATTGATTGTATCTAGTTTAATAGCAGGTTAGTAATCATATCTATCTATATATATATATATACTAATCTATGTAATATTGTTTATTGTATAAAGTTGTTTTTTCTTCTATACCTATACTATATTATTGAAACAGAATAATTGTGAATGTCATTGGGTGGTGATCATTGTCATGTATGTCAGATCCTTCTTAGTGTAGATCGAATCTTATCGATCAAATTGCAATGTGGCCACTAGTCTAGGTGATTTGACATTGAGTGTATTATGTGGAGATAGGATAGTGGTCGGAGGTGGTCAAGAAGAAATTCTAGACCTAGGTTTCGTGCTATTTGGCACACATCAGCAAAGTGTACCTGTAATCTTGAGGGAACTGATACTCTCTGACGGATTCGATCCCGTGTCATTTAGCTGCAAAGACGTTACCACTGAGCTATCCGGGCCGCGGCTGGCCTTCTGTGGGACTGAGATGTATTTACAATTGATTGATCACTAGGTGGTGATCAATGTCATGTATGTCAGATCCTTCTTAGTGTAGATTGAATTCTATCGACCAAATTACAACGTAACCAGTAGTCTAGGTGACTCGACATTGAGTGTACTATGTTGAGATGAGATGGTGATTGGAGGTAGTCGACAAGAAATCTTGGACCTAGATTTCGTCCTACTTGGAACTCGTCAGCAAAGTGTAATTTTTAACATCCGATATCAAGAATTACGAATATAACATGATCAAATATACGTGTCGACAGTGAACGTTGTACACCTGAGAGTAAGACAACTTGAGTTCTTCTAGAAATTCGTTGTGATGAAAGTATTTTCAAACATTCCCTGAATTATAATGCTTTATTAGTTAATGTTAATACTTGAAATAAATTATCAAATCACTACACACACACACACACACTAAACAGTTTTACTGCATAATCTTTATCATACATTATTAAATATATAGTTTATCTCATCTCAGAGATATAGATCAGTCAGTCAGCTACAACGTAGAACTAAGAACCTATAGGCATCGATTCAGGTTGCCATACCTCATTAACACAACAAGATCAACACGGGATTCATAGAAGTAGTTAATTCAGTGGTCGTATTACATAAAAGAAAGATTTCATATGAGGACATAGTACAGGAAGTAAGAATTAGTTCGTAGAAAGAAATCTAAGTATCATCAAAAGGAATGATTTAAAATCTTATTGATAGTATTAATAATACTTCGATAATCTTCAAAGTTGAATTCATGAGTCAATCTAGGCTAAACCACTTTTGAAAACCTAAAAGTACTAGATGACCATTTCGTCTTAGTACGTGACTCCTCAACGGTGCGTATCTATGATCTCACATGTGGGACTTGAACCCGGAACCTTTGGTCTCATGCGTGTAGACCACTGAGTTGATATCCAACGTTATTAATGTCTGACTTCAATCGATTCATGATCTTGTGCAACACTTCATCCATTGTCTGACGTGGATAACTTTCTCCATCCAATGCAGAATGAATTTCATTGGCCACAGCTCCTCACTAGAATTCATCATGAATCTAGTCAGTAGTGAGCATATGATTATTATTATCAATATTGGGGATTTGTGTGGATTGTAAATTTTAATAATTGACTTAATACTTTCAAGGTACATCGAGATGCAACAAGACATCTACTTTTCTTATGTTATACAATAATGAATGAGAGTAGAATAAATGAAACTAGTTCCTTTCTTCGTTAACATTAACTAATAAGTTTAACAAAGACAGTTGAATAAAACAATCATAAGAGATGAATATTTTGTTTTGGTTGTGCAATTAAATAAAATGTTTGATTATTGAATGTAAAACATTATAATCTTAATTATTATATCAACTGAAAGCTGACAATATGTAATATTAGAGAGGAGTTTTGTGGTTATTATAGTAGTTTTAATAGTTGAATTCATGAGTCAACTGAAGCTAGACTACCATCGAAAACCTGGAAGCACTGGACGGCTATTCCTTTCTACTGTGGGACTCCTCAGTTCTAGTGAGTTTTAGTGAGAAGTAGTGACTAGTGGAATTCAGTGAGGTCTGTTGTGAGATAGTAACTCACTGATGACAATGGTGAATATGACGCTCAATTTCGTGGATTAGTTGAAGTTAGATATTAATACCGTTGAATGCCGGCTGAGTGATCTAGTGGTTAAGTGGTCGCTCGCGAAACCAGTAGGTCCTGAGTTCGAATCCCGCAGGGGGCGAGGTCGTGGGTGCGCACCGCTGACGAGGAGTCCCACAATAGGACGAAACGGCTGTCCAGTTCTTCCAGGTTCTCCATGGTGATCTAGCTTCAACTAACTGATGATCTTAACCATTGAAAAGCTTAAACATATTGAATGATAAAGTATAAAAACCAATGCGAAATAGCATAAATGAACCCTTTAATTATTACGTAACAATCCATTCTTTTTATTAGATCATATTTCTTTGTTACATTTAAAAGACTAAAAGATTAAGACATTTGAATTAGTGCATATTTTGTGCTATTTTTTCTGTTCTTTTTTAACTGTTGATCATCTTTAAAGTTGATTTTTTCGGAACTAAAATGATACAATCAAATCAGAACTATTTGCTGATTATCATTGATTATGTGTGTTTGTATGTATCATATGTATGTTCCCAATGTTATGAATTGTATCGGACAGAATTGAAATCTATTCAATGATGATAGAATATTACAGATTTATATAATGTAAACTATTTTTCTCTAATTTGATTGGTTAATTAATGGAACAGAAAGAAAGTGATCATTGAATATATGAATAGATATGAATAGTGCTTGATTATATCAATGGACATATCTAGTCTCTTTATTACTAATTTCATTAAAACAAACAAATTATCCACAGAGATATATAAAAGTTAACAAATTCCCACTTTATGTTATCTTCAACTGTATTTACCGGTTTATATGTTCGTACTAAATCACTTACAGCCATAACAGCCATAACAGTCATAACAGCCATGTTAGGAGATGAAGACTACTTGGTTGGGGTCCGAGTGACCCTTGTAACCAATGGTTGGAAACTCTTGGTGACATGGCTCAGAATCGATCACAATGGCGTCGATGTAAATACTCTTTGTCTTCTCTTAAACTAAGAGATTAAAATTGCTTCACATCTTTCTTTCTACCAACTAATTCTTTCTTCTTGTATTATATCCTTATACACAATCTTTCTTTTATATATTACCACTATCGAAGTAACTACTTCTATGAATTCGATGTTCATCTCGTTGTGTTAATGAGGTATGGCAACTTGGATCGATGCATATATGTGCCTGGTCCTATGATGTAGCTGACTGACATAACATAAAATAGGGATTTCCATTCATTTTGAAGCATATTCCATAATGAGATGGTGGAGAAGATTTATAGCTCAGGTGGGTGATTTTAGTGGAGTTTTGTTCTCTGAACTTCTTTTGAACGATGAAAGCTCCACGACCAAACCATCTAGCTCAGAGAACAAAACTCCACCAAAATATTCCATAATGGTCAGTGCATTTTCAATAATGCTATCACTTATCATCAATTTGATAGTAAACACAAAATTGATGTTGTAAAGTTGTTCAAAATAATCAATACCTTTAAAAAACTTTGAATTTCTTGGGTTATACCATGGCCATAGCAACAATAAAAAGTGAAACAACACAAACAAATCCAAAACGATAGAGTTATAGATTTCTTAACAGCCCGGTTTTGATGGCCCAGCCTTCGACTCCAGTTAAGTCATATGATGATTGTTGTTGAAATATATATACCACCAACCCTCGTATATAATTGTCGACTTAATTCGCATTAGAGAATAGTAGAATACGTATATTTCATACATTCATTTATCCACACAGACAATCAGAGAAGCAAAGTGTAGGAAGCGAAGCGAAACGAAACGAAGTGACGCTCATCGAAGGTTAGTGAACCAAATCGGTTTATTCAGACGTAACTCGATATTTATCATTCAGACAAAAATAAGTTACAGACACATAATCAATAGGGTGAACAATTAACAGATACGATCGTACAAAAATAGTCAGGATTAATGAGCGAATAATTGACAAGGTCGAAATGTGACTTAAGAAGAATGAATAAATTGGTCTATCCAGAAGCTAGAATAACCTATGTGGGCTTGACATAGTGTGATATATGCTACTTATGGTGTTATCAGTAGTATATAACACCAGTCAGAAGTGGAATGTCTGGCAGCAGAAGGTTGGGAAGAGAACGGGACACAGAGAGTAAGTGTTATGGTAATGAAGGAACGATGAATTTCGCGACATTTGTTGAAGGATTCGCAAATGAAGTATTGAACGTACAGTCCCTACCTGTGTTCTTGTTCATTACAATAGTACTATCCTGTTATAACTGTGAAAAATGATGCTGCTGATTAAGGGGTAGCGAATTATTGATCGGACCAAAGACGCACAAACACGTAGAACGACCTAGGGTCCTGATTGGCCCCGCTTCCCTGTCTAGCCCAGTCAGTTGAGTCCAGAACACATGTCACAGCCTCTGAGTTATGAATCATTATATTTCAAACATACTTTGTTTATATACCAGTCAAGCAGACCACATCGTACGATAAAATAGAAAATAACATTGTACAATATTGACCAGTAGGAAAATGACAGGTGAAATAAGTACTGACCAATAAGTAAATAATACCATCTCCAAGTCCAAGAATAGCATTAGACTTAATAGAATAATTCTGGGATATTTTCCTGAATATCCCAACATATCCATAACATGGTAAACTCTACTTTTTATTGTTCAATTAAATATAATCTTATTTCAAATTCTCAATAACAAATTTCTTTCTTAGGTTATCGCGTCATGTTTGAGCTTTAATAACCTTGGCCTATTAATTTACTTACTTTTATGGTTGTTATTACGAATCATGGTGTTGATTTCCATTCATTCAAGACAAGTCCCCATTTGTTTAAAAAAATGCTTCTGCTATAGTTTTCACATTCTTACTTACTTAATTAATTACGCCTGTTATTCCTCGT